GGCAGGAGGAGGGTGAGGCCCCTGCAGAGGCGACCGGTGGTCAAGGTGGCCACGAGGCCTGCGGAGATGGCCAGGAGGGTCCCACGAGCTCCGGCAACATCCAGGATGGTTCCAAAGACTCCACAGACGTCCCAGAGGTTCCTGCGAGCTCCAGCAACAACCAAGAGAAACCAAAGAGCTCCAGCGATGTCCAAGAGGGTTCCAAGAGCTCCAGGCATATCCAGGAGGATCCCAAGAGCTTTGGGGATAGCCAAGATGATCTCAAGAGCTCCAGCAATGTCCAAGGTGGCTCCAAGAGTGCTGGGGGTGACCGAGAGAAGCCTGAGGTCTTCAGGGATGTCCAACGTAGTCCTGGCAGCTCCCCAAGTGCCCCAAAGGATCCGAAGATCTCCTGGGATGTCCACGGTAGTGCCAAGGTCCCTGGGGATGGCCAGGGTGGCCTTAAGGTCTCCAGGGAGGTCCAAGGTGGTGCTAAGGTCCGCAGAGGTATCCAAGAAGATCCCAAAGTCTCCAGTGATGTTGGCCAAGACCCTGATGGTCCTGAGGCCATTGGAGAACACCCCGATGTCTCCAAGGAGGTTGACCAAGACCCTGGTGTTCCTGAGACAGGCGACGAAGGTGCCAGTGCTCTCAAGGAGACTGGTGAACAACCAAACATCTCAAAGGTGGTTTGTGGAGACCCTGATATCTCCAAGAAGGCTGGCAAAGATCCCAGTGTCAGTGCTGACTCCAACATCTCCAAGAAGATTCGCAAAGGTCACAATATCTCTAAGAAGGTACGTGAAGACCTGAACATCCTGGAAAAAGTCAGCGATGAACGCGGTGTTTCCAAGAAGATTGGTGGAGACCCCGACACAGTCAAAGAGATGGGCAAAGACCCCAAAGAGGTTGGCAAAGACCCTAAAGAGGTCGGCAGATACTCCGAGGCCCCCAAAGAGATCGGTGATGCCCTCAAAGATGGCAGCACCCTCAACTCTCCCAGAGAGGTTGGTGACGACGCTGAAGAGGTATGTGATGACCCCAGCACGGGCAGGGTGGCTGCTGATGGCCCCGAGGACCCCTGGGGGGGCGGTTGGGCCTGGGAGGACTCGTGCTCATCGTCCTCCTCCTCGTCGTCCTCCTCCTCATCCTCGGAGGAGGAGGTGGGTCTGGAGGATGATGGGGCACCGTTGCCACCGCCAGAGGAGCTGGGGCAGGGGAACCCCTTCCTCCTCTTCCTCTGCCTGGCCATGCTGCTGGAGCAGCGGGAGGCCGTCATGGCACGGGCTGGGGACTACAATGAGGTGGCCATGCACTTCGACCGCCTGGTGCGGCGTCACCACCTGCCCCGCGTCCTGCGCCGTGCCAAGGGGCTCTTCGCCCGCTACCTGGAGGGCTGGGGGGGGGCGCCCCCAGGGGGACCTCTAGGGGCACTGGGGGGCTGGGGGTGGCCCAGGAGCCCTGCTGGGACCCCACGGGGATGTGTGGGACAATGTGGCGGCCCCACGGACGCCACGGAGAGCCCTAGGTTAACGTGGGGACCTGTAGAAGAACGTAGGAACCCCACAGACATCCCATGGAGACCTCTAGGTCTTCTTTGGGGACCCCTAGGCCACCACGGGAAGCTCTTTGTCAACATGGGGACCTGTAGGTCCTCTTTGGGGACACCTAGGCCACCGCGGGGAGCCCTAGGTCAGCATGGGGACCTGTAGAACAACTTAGGGACCCCATAGACATCCCATGGGGACCTATAGGTCCTGTTTGGGGACCCCTAGACCACCACGGGGAGCCCTAGGTCAACGTGGGGACCTGTAGGTCCTCTTTGTGGACTCCTAGGCCACCATGGGAAGACTTAGGCCAACGTGGGGACTGGTAGGACAACGTGGGGACTCATACACGTCCTATGGGGACCTCTAGGTCTTCTCTGGGGACTCCGAAGTCACCACGGGGAGCCCTAGGTCAACACGGGGACCTGTAGGCCACCATGGAGACCCCATAGACGTCCTGGGGGATATATAGGTCCTCTCTGGGGACCTGTTGTCCACCATGGGGACTCCTAGGTCAACGTGGGGACCTGTAGTGCACCATGGGGGCTGTAGGTCGTCTTTGGGGACGCACAGGTCAATTTGGGGACCTATAAGACAGCGTAGAGACCCCACAGACACCCCATAGGGACCCATAGGTCCCTTCTGGGGACCTGTAGAGCAGCACAGGGACCCCATAAATACCTGTAGGTAAATCACGGGGACTTGGAGGCCAACATGGGGGCCCCACAGACCCCCCTGGAGACGTATAGACCCCCTGGAAGCCCATAGATCCCCACAGGGCATCCGGAGACACCCCAGCATGGACCAGGACAGCCCAGTGCCTCCCCTCTGGGGTTCTACATCCCTTGGGGCATCCCAGTGTAGACCAGTATGAACCACTGCAACGTCCCAGCTGGCAGCTCCTGGATCTACATTGCCTTGGGCCAGACCAGTATGGACCAGGAAGGTTCTGGGGCCCTAACTGGGAGCCCCATGTATGCATCGCCTTGGGTCGGAGCGGGATGGACCAGTACGGCATCCCAACTGGGATCACTGCCTTGACATGGCCTTCAGCCATCCCAGCATGGACCGGTATGGACCAGTACGTCAGCCAACTGGGAGCTCTTCACCCATGTGGCCTTGCGTCCTCCCAGTACGGATCAGCATGTACCAGTACAGCATCTTGCCCGGGATCTCTTCACCCATGTGGACTTGTGTCCTCCCAGTACGGACCAGTAGAGCATCTCGCCCAGGATCTCTTCACCCGTGTGGCCTTGCGTCCTCCCACTATGGACCAGTACAGCATCTTGCCCGGGATCTCTTCACCCGCGTGGCCTTGTGTTCTCCCAGTATGGACCGGTAGGGCGCCCCGACTGGGATCTTAATGCACATATGGGATCTCCCAGTATGGACCACTACAACCCAGTTCCTTCCCACCCCTGCCCCGACCCTGGGTGCCTTCTCACCCCCCTCCTTATTTATTGCCCCCCCTCCCGCGGGAGTGACCCAGGCGTCTGAGGGTCTGTGAGGTGCCGAAGATGCGAATAAACCTGACGCCCATGACTGTCGTTTGAGGGCTCCCAGTATGGACTGGGAAGGGGCTGGGGGCTCCCAGTATGGACCGGGAAGGGATGTGGGGTTCTTGTTGGCACTGAGAAGGGAAGTGGGGCTCCCAGTACGAACTGGGGGGCTCCCGATGTGGGTTGGGGAGGGGAACGGAGTGTCCCAGTCCGTACTGGAAAGGGATAGGGGCTCCCAGTATGGACTGGGAAGGGACGTGGGGTTCTTGTTTGTACTGGGAAGGGAAATGGAGCTCCCAGTATGAACTGGGTGGTTCTCAGTGTAGAATGGGGAGGGGTAAGGGGTGTCCCAGTCCATACTGGAAAGGGATAAGGGCTCCCAGTACGGACTGGGAAGGGAAGTGGGGCTCCCAGTATGAACTAGGGAGTTCCCAGTGTTGAATGGGGAAGGGTAAGGGGTGTCCCAGTCCATAATGGAAAGGGATAGGGGCTCCCAGTATGGACTGGGAAGGGGCTGGGGTCTCCCAGAGTGGACTGGGAAGGGATTACGGTTCCGGGTCCATACTAGGAAAGGGCTGTGGGCTCCCAGTATGGACTGGGGAGCTCCCAGTATGGACTGGGAAGGGGTTGTAGTGTGGGAAGGGGCGGTGCGCGGGGGCCTGGGTCCCCACTTGGGCGGGGGTTGGAGGGGCCAGCACTGGGGTCTTCCCAGTGCCCCCAAGTCCCATTGCTGCCTGCGTTGGCTGAGGCTGCTCCCTGTTCCCCGCCCCCCCCATCCCTCCCAGTTAGCCCAGTTCCCCCCAGGTGCCTCCCTTTTCTTCCCAGTATCCCGTTTCAGCCCTGTTGCTGCCTGTGTTTGCAGAGAGACTGCTCCCAGTCTCTCCCACGTCCCC